TTTTTTTACAAATTCAAGCCATAAAAAAACGCATGTTGTGGCAGTCAAAAGGAGCACGCACGATTGACTGTAAACACGTCTTTATTCCACGACTGCCAACAAGTGGATGTGAACAATTACAAATTTGCGCCCAAGACATTCCCATAAACACGCCCCCTACTGTACGCCTGCTGGGTGAGAAGCATGGTCCTAGTGTCCGCCACAATATATTCAAAACAGAAAAAAGTCAACACAATTAGTATCAAGTCTTAAGTTTTTGAATTGTGCACAAAATGAACCAGCCAGCGATGGCGTGTCACACCTCATTGACATGTTGAGTCGAGTGCGTCTTCACCTCCGTCGAAGCCCTGAGACCGATTCACCGAAGCCGGGGCAAGAAGCACCGCTTTAGCGTGACCCAAGCAGCGTGTCGTCACGACCACTCGCTCGACGTCCGCCCGCGTTTTCCTCACTTGACGGGTGACCGCATTCCGACGGGTGGCGCCGCGATCGCGCAGCTCACGTGCGCGCACGGCGGCGAGCGAGCGCCACCTGTCGGCGTCTGGACGTGACGTCGTCAGTCAGATGGCCGACGTGTTTCCAAATTGCAAAGCGGGAAGCGAGCGCGACGCCGCGGCGTGTTGACGCGGCCGCAGCAATCGCGCGGCTAACACGTTAGCATAGCAGCCAGCACTGGCGGCACTGGCGGCACTGGCTCCGATGAGTTCTGCTGTACGAGCTGAAGAAATCTTGTTGTTGTTGTTGTCCTCAGTCAGATGGCCGACGTGTTTGCAAATTGCAAAGCGGGAAGCGAGCGCGACGCCGCGGCGTGTTGACGCGGCCGCAGCAATCGCGCGGCTAACACGTTAGCATAGCAAGAAGTGAGCGCAACACCTCAGCTTGTGAACACGACGTCTTTATTTATTGCGTTGAAGTGGAGTTGGTCACATCAACATTCATCTTTTGCTTTGTCGTTTTGCACACGTGACGACCAAAAGATGTCCGAAAAATCGCAGTCTGCTTTGAAGGAACTCCATGAAAAATTAGACAAACGTGTGTGTGTGTGTGTGTGTGTGTGTTTGTGTGTGTGTGAAAAAATGCGATGCTGTGAGGTCATCAGCAGGGCCCGTCCTTCACGATCACAATGTCCACTTTCTTCTCCCTGCACACACACACACACACACACACACAAAGGTCACGTGACTGTGTGTGCGCGCGCGACACACACACACACACACACACACACACCCACAAAGGTCACGTGACTGTGTGTGCGCTCGCGTACGCGAAAATTTCGGTTTCAGGCCTCGAGCAGATGCTATCCAGCAGAGTTCTTGATAGTTTGGGATTTTTTTTTTTTTTACTTCAGATATTTTTTTCCAAGTTAGTTTTGAATTTCAGTTTGAGTTTTTCTTTTTAAATGAGAGGGTGTTTATTAGTCTCGTGCGGGTTTGGTAGTTGTTGTTTTGTGTTTTGTTTGGGGTTTTTTTGTGATAAGAAACCTTTTATTTGTCTCACGATGGAGAAATTCCCAATTCTTCTCAGTTGAGCAGTATGACGGCGTCGCGGTCCACTCGGCTGACTTGCGTGCGGGCAGCGCGGGACGGGTTGCCGCGAATGGGTGCGGATGCGAGCGCGAACGGCGCTCGGTGCCCTCCCTGGCTTCCGCGCCAAGTCAGCCGGGACACCCCGCGACCCCGATTGGGAAAAGCGCCGAGAAAACGGAGGGATGGTTTTCGCATTTGTTTTTTTTGGGGGGGGGGCATATTTGTGGAGTGCACAATCTATCAAACAAATAAACAAAGAAAAAGTCACAAAGTGTCATTGAACACAAAGTCAAGGACAATTCCCAAAGGACCGTTCAACCTTCTTTGTAAAAACCTTTCAAATAAACTAACGCCAAAGGTGAAACGAAGGACACGTTTGCTCCAATTTTCGCAACATTAGAGTTTGTTCGAGGATGCAAAAAAATGTCTTCTTTTGTTCCGCTGACTCAATTTGACTTTGACTTTTAATTTGCGAGCATTCACTCACTAAAACCACGTTAGTCTTGGCAATAAAAAGCGACGACGAGAGTAAACAGCAGCGGCCCATTGGATTTCTACGCAGAAGATCAAATCTAAACGTGAGTACCGTGCGACGGTCCGCGCATCTGCCGTCGCCGCTGCCGCCTTGGCAAGGTGACGCGCTCGCCGATGAGGCCGAGCGCTCGAAACAGCACCGAGTCTCTTTTCGGACCGATGGAAGCGATTGGCCGAAGCGCCGCTCGTAGGCGACCTGACAAATGCGACGAGGGGAGGACTCGCGACAAGTTTGCGGCCGGCTGCCGAGTCGCCGGCCGTGGAAAGCCGCCGGACGCGCGGCGTCAACTCACAGTTGGCTGATGCACAGAGCGCATTCGTTGGCGTAGGTGATCCCGTCGCTGCCGCACACGGGCGAGTAGTCGAGCGGACACGCTCGGGTCAGCGCGGTGCCGCTGCACTGGGGCTGCCAACACACACACACACACACACCGCAAACAAACCGACAAAGGAAAAGTATCATCAAAACGCACTCGAGTGCAGAAAAAGCAACACAAAGCGTCTTACCATCAACTCTGTGTGTGTCCCAGCAAAGTGAAGATGAGGAGTGGGAGCGCGCCACGAGCTTCCTCTCTCTCTCTTTCTCTCTCTGTAGGTGATCCCGTCGCTGCCGCACACGGGCGAGTAGTCGAGCGGACACGCTCGGGTCAGCGCGGTGCCGCTGCACTGGGGCTGCCAACACACACACACACACACCGCAAACAAACCGACAAAGGTCACGCGCCAGCCGCCACCCGGGAACTCCGCTTTGTGCTGCCGAAGTGAACACAAGCAAGCGCTTGGGAAGCGCCAAGGCCTGAAGAGGAACCTGCGCGGCGCGCAAATGTCTCCTTTGCGCTGCGGAAACCCCAAAATCGCCCTTCGCCCGAATGCATGTCGGCTATTTCGTGCCGCTTTTTTGAGGATCGCGTTCCCCATCTGTCGAGGAACCGCAGATCAAAGGAAAGACCCAATCCTTCGTATCTGTGATCGGGTTGCGTGTTCGCCACGCAAATCGGATCGAGAGTGCCCAAGTGCTGGCGTCTGATGCATTCTAATTATTGATCATCTCTTGCAATCGTTTGTTTTTCAAGCGCGCGTCAATCGGATGCCCTTTTTTTTCGGAGGGAGGGCGGCCAATGGCCGTGCGTGCGTCCCGCAAGTGACGATGCCGCGGCCGCGCGCGTTTGGAATTGAGAATGACTTCCGATTCACCAACACGCGCAGGGCGGCCGCTCAAAAGCCAAATTGAAGGCGAGTTTGGAAGATGGGCAGCGAGGGGGCGTAGGGGGAAGGCGAGGCCATCTCAAGATTTGAAAACCAATCAGAGGATCTTGAAAAGAACTCAAAAAAGGGAGCCAGTGAAGGGACGCCAGAGGAGGAGTGATGTGCTCCCTCATACGAGGACGAGTCAAGAGGCGAGCGGCGGCGTTTTGGACCGACTGGAGACCCTTCGTGGAGCATCATTGGCCGACCTCTTCCACCATAGAGAAAAAGCTTCATGTCAGAAAGCTACGACCAGTCGTCACCAAAATTCACGTGGGCACCTCTACCGATTTCGAAAAAAAAAAAAAAAAAATCAAAAGGATCGCAGCAATACTTTGGATTTTACGGACATGGGCATCTTCCTCCAGCTTTGTGTCCCTTAATGCGGAAAATGCTTCATGTCCATAAAATCCTCAATAGTGACACAATCGTTTTTTTTTCCCATCTTGACATGTACAGAGACGAGCAGGTGAATTTTGCTCGGAGTTTTGAAGTGACATTCAACCGTAGTTCAATCATATCTTCGGGGAGAAAAAGGCATCATGGGCAGAAACTCGAAAATATTCAGCCCGTCTTTTCAGAGGTTGAAGCGAGCGGCAGGATGAGTTTGTGAATTTTGATGATGATTCGCAGCAGTTTTCTGACACGAAGCGACATGAAAAGTTTTTTTTTTTTTTTTTTTATCCGGCTCTCCCAAGGGAAAAAGAAAAAGGCCTCGTGCCCCGGGAATCCCAAATCTGCTGGCTGGCCACTGCTTGCCAGCAGATCGTTTGGTCGGTTGAAGCGGGCACGAGCAGAAATGCGCGCGCCGGTGACGAGTCCGAGCAGCAGTTTTGCGCCACGAGGCGACGCGCCGTCCCCGTGAACGGAGACTTTGGCGTGCCGTTCACCAGTCGCTGCTTGAAACGCGTCGGGTCTTTCCCCGCAATCGTTTCCGCGACGTGCGGTGACACGCGCGCGCGCGCGCACACACACACCAAGTGCCGCCCGCCTTTTAACAGGCGGCCGGCACTCGGTGAGCGTCGCGATAGTAAGGCGAGCAATTTCTCAAGGGCGAAGGGCGAAGGGCGAGATTCCTCACCCTCCTGAAGATGCCGTCCCGGTCCTCGGCATCTGCAAAGAAGAAGCATCTCGCAAGGTGAGCGACCGAGGCTTCGCTCGCTCGGCCGGCCGCGCGTTCGAAGGGCACGGCGACTCACGGGCGAGCAGCAGGGCGAGCGCGACGCAGACGCAGGCGAAGAGCGGCGGCAGCCCCCGGCCGCGCCGCATTCTGACCGTCGGCCCGCTTCCGATGCGAGGCTCGCGGCGCGCCGCCTGTACATATAGGCCCCCGCCGCCGCCGCGTCGCGACGCGGCCTTTGTACCCGCCTAAATGTGGGGATCAACGCCGCGGCGGCGCTCGCAGACTCTGCTGAGCCAGCGCGAAAAACCCGACGACAACAACCCGCCCGGACAAAAACACGCGGACCTTTGTGCGTCTGCGCGGGAAGGGCGACGTCACGCGCCCGCGCTCGCCCACGATTCATTGATTGTCGGGTCTCGTTCGCGACGCTTTGGGCTTTTGTTTCATTGTTCCTTTTGAGGGCTCGCCTTCAAAGACGGCCAGTCCAGAATCCCGCCGCGCAAAGCCGTCTGCCAAACCTCAACTCGCAAAACGTCTCGATTTGGGCCTTTCCTTTTTGGACCGTCCGAATCAATACGGCGGAGCGAGGCAGCGAGCGAGGGTCTTCGGTCCTGTTCTTCGGGGACGGCTTTCCATCCTGTTCCATCTCTCCCGAGCCGACTGAGGAATGAGCCCAACGGCTTGAAATTGGATCGGGTGGACCTTGGCGAGCGGCGGCGGGCTTATCCGAACAATTGGCCAAATGGTGACAAAACATCGGGAAAAGTCCTCCGCTGGAGTCACAATCAAACAGGCTCCATGTTGTTGTTGTTTGCGTCTGGCCCTTTGAATGGCAGACGCGACAAACGGCGGTGCGCGCGCGCACACGCACGCACCCACACACAAACTTGGTTGCACACGTTTATTTGGAAGCCAAAAACAGGTTTCCGTGTCTCGGTGGTGACAGAGTTTGATGAAAGCCCAGCCGCCATCGCCGCCGCCGCCGACGGCTCCACTTTCAGACAATCACTTGAGCGGTGAGAAGGAACACGGGAACATGACTTTGGTCTTCCGGGATTGCAGCAGGCCGAGTCCGCGCGCCACTGAAGGACACGCGCGTCACTCGCACATCGAGCTCCGTTTCACCGAGGTCGCGGCGACGCCGCGGCCCGCCGGGCGGGCTCTTACCTGCCGCGTCGCTTTCCACACTTCGGCGCTCGTCGGCGCTCTCGAACCAGCGCAGGGTGTAAACTGGCAAGGGCAACGACACCACGCCTGCGTCAACCGACACCCGAGCGCAGGTGCTCGGGCGCGCAGGCGCTTGCGCGCACAGGCGCTCGCGTGCGCGCGCGGCACTGACCTGTGTCCAGGTGGCCGATGTCGCTGTGGAAAGCGGCGAGCAAGCGGGCGCGCCCGCCCGCGTCGCGGCAGGCGGCGGAATCCCCGAGAGGAGCGGCCCACAGCGCGGCGGCGCCCGGGCGCGTCCTGAAGGAGGCCAGTTCAAACGCGCCTGAAAAACACACCGCGTGTCACGTGGCGCGGCTTGAACAAAACCAAAGACGCCCGCTCGATCAAATGTTGACGCGTTTGACGTCACGCCGTCAGCTAATGAGGTCGCGCGTGTGAGGCGCCCTGTCGAAGGAGCTCCGGACAGAGGCGCGATGTGGCGTGGCGGCGATGACGTGCCGCGGGCTGAGTTGATTTGACGCGGCGTGACGGAGGTGACGTGATGTGGCGCCACTTGATGCGACCTGCCGTGAGCGAGATCGCGGGACATCATGTGGAATGGCGCGACTTGATGTGACGTGACGGGGCGAGATTTGATGCGATGTGGCAGGATGAAGGCCGCGTGGTGTGACGGAGGCGACGTGACGCGGTGTGACGTGAAGTGACGGAGGTGACGGGAAGCGGAAGGGCTTGATGTGACGTGACAGAGATCACGTGACGCGCCGTGGCGTGACTTGACTTGACGCGGAACGGCAGAGATGACGCGAGACGTGGCGCGCAGCGGCATTGCCGGATGCGATGTGGCGCGAGTTGAGGCGACGCGACTTCGCGTGACGTGGCGCAGAACGTCGTAAGACGACTTGACGCGGCGTGGCCAACCTCCGTGGCGCGGCGGCGCGTCGATGCGGCTCCAGGGCAGCAGGGCGGCGACATGGTTGTTTTGACACGTTAGCATCGGAATGGCCGGCCTGATGTACTCGGCCATCCAACGCTCGTCCTGAGCGAGCGCCGCGCGCACCGCGGCGCGATGGCTGAACGAGTCTAAGGGGAAGGAAGGGCGGAGCTTACTCACGAGGCCCAGAGGGACGGGACGCTCGGGACCCCTGCGACCCGCATACTAATTGACTTCCGACGGACGGACTCCTCACCGTACTTCCAAATATGGAAGACCTGATTAAGGGCGCCGTACTCGACGCTCCAGTAGCCGACGAGCTCTGAGTGGGCGGTCCGGAGGTGAATCTTCTCATTGGTTAGCTCCAGGAAGGCGGAGCTTCGGTCCGGGCGGATTTGGTAGGTGCGAAACTCGTACAAGGCTCCTCCTTCTTCTCGGGCTCCTGTTGAGAGGCCTGCCCAGCGCTGAGAGCACACACACACACACAAGCACACACACACGCACACACACGCACACACACACGCACACAAGCACACACACACACGCACACACACACACGCGCACACACACACACACACACAAACACCACACACACACACACACACACACGTGCATTTGTCTTCTCTCTGACATGAACGTGTAGACGTGTTCTTTCCAGGTTGCTTTTGAATAAATTGAATTTTGAGACGATCATGTCATGACATCATATTTGGCATTTTTTTGTGCTTGGTGCTTGGCAAGGAGAAACAAACAAATCTTTGTTAGACGATCATGTCATGACATCATATTTGGCATTTTTTGTGCTTGGTGCTTGGCAAGGAAAAACAAACAAATCTTTGTAGTTTAAAGGCTGACTTGGTTAATTTTCAACTTGAAACATTTGTTGCAGCCTGTCCGAAGATCACCCGTGTCTGTGTGCGTGCGCGTGCGCGCGCGAGAGAGAGAGAGAGAGAGAGAGAGAGAGAGAGAGAGACCCTATTCCGGAATCCGTTTTAATTGCCAGAATCAAACGTTAAAATTTGATTGTGAGCTTGACAGCGGCTGACGCGTCTCGTCTCGCGACCGACGTCACGTGATGCGAGCAGCCGTCGAGGTGACTTCAGTCGTTTTCGGAGTGGTGAAATCAATTGTGAGCGTCAAGTTGAAAGTTTTGCGTTTGGGGGACTCACGTGAGCGGACGGCGAGAGGCGGAAGCGAGCCGGGAGGCGTGAAAAGCGAAGCATTTTTCAAAACGCGAAGCAAAAAAGAAGTGCGGAGCGAGCATCCAAAGTTCCGGCGACGAAGATTTCGTTGACGTCATCACGTCGAGCGGGTCGGTCACGTGCTTCATTTCGCTTCCCTCTCGTTTATGTTTTTATCGGGGAGGGCGTTGGCGTTCACTTCGATTCCCGAGGACAAGTGGGCGACATACGACAATTTAAGAAGCCCAAGTTTCGTACGCGTTTCCAAATGGCACGTTCGCGTTTTTAGCCCGCGCAGTTACCGCGGCGGATCAT